ACCTGACCTGAGCTGTGGGGGTGCAAGGGCTTGTGGAGGTCCCATTGTATTCCTAAAGCAGCCATGGATGCACGTGGGAGGAGCAGGTGGGATTGTGCAGGAGAAGGAGGAATAATAGGAGGAAGAGTAGGGACACAGGAGTAGGAAGACCAGAAACAGGAAGGAGCACGAGGTTCCACCCCTCCCTGTATCTGCATCCTCTCCCCAGGCCTCAGGAGCATTGTCCCCATCACATGCAGCAGGTGACCGGAGAGGGAGATCCATGATTTTCACATGGGTTAATTGTGGTATTTCTGAGCTTTATTTGGCTAAATATTGGTGCTTTGGTTTTTTGCAGCAGTTGAATCTTTCTGTTTTGGAGAGGGTTTTGGCTAAATCTTGGTGTTTGTGGGGTTTTTGATCTGCGTCATGATGTTTGGAGGATTTTTGGTTTGAATCTTGGTGTTTTGGAGGTTCTTACAGACACAAGATGCCCAATGAGTTCCTGAGTTGCACTTGGGCAAGGAGGAACCCCCAGCCCAACACACTCCTCTCTTGTTTTTTCCCCAAACCAGGATTTTTCATTCTCAAGGCATTGGCAGATGGAGGAGGAGTTAAAGCCCCGGAGATCCCTCTCGAGGAGGGGCTGCAAACCCAGCCCAGGGAGCTGCAAACCCAGCCCAGGGAGCTGCGAGGAGGAAAGACCCTCCCTGAGCCGGGAAGGCGGCCGGAGATCCAGGCAGAGCTCAGAGCTGGTGGAGAAGCCTCATGGACGGGAGAAGCCCCAGAAGTGCTTGAAATGTGGGAAGGGTTTTAACTCCATCTCTCAGCTGATCCTACACCAGAGGATCCACAGTGGGGAAAAGCCCTATGAGTGTGGGGAATGTGGGAAGGGTTTCAGCAAGAGCTCCCACCTGATCCGGCACCAGATGATCCACACTGGGGAAAAGCCCTATGAGTGTGGGGAATGTGGGAAGGGATTCAGAGACAGCTTCTGCCTGATCCGGCACCAGATGATCCACACAGGGGAAGGGCTCTACGAGTGTGGGGAGTGTGGGAAGAGCTTCAGCGACAGCTCCAGCCTGATCCGGCACCAGGTGATCCACACTGGGGAAAAGCCCTACAAGTGTGGGGAATGTGGGAAGAGTTTCAACTACAGCTCCAGCCTGATCCAGCACCAGGTGATCCACACAGGGGAAAGGCGCTACAGCTGCTTGGAATGTGGGAAGAGCTTTGGGTGGGGCTCTGACCTGATAAACCACCAGCGCACCCACACTGGGGAGAGGCCCTACGAGTGTCTCAAGTGTGGGAAGAGGTTTCAGAGAAGCTCCACTCTCATCAGACATGAGCGGATTCACACAGATGAGAGGCCCTTCCGCTGCCCTGACTGCGGGAAGAGATTCAACCGCAACTCCACCCTCACTGTCCACCGGCGCAACCACTGTGGGGAGAGGCCCTACAAGTGTCCTGAGTGTGGGAAGAGGTTTCAGACCACCTTCAATCTCCTCGAACATGAGCGGATTCACATAGAACAGAGGCCCTTCTGCTGCCCTGACTGTGGGAAGGGCTTCACATGCAACTCGCATCTCATCAGACACCAGCACATCCACACCAGGGATGCGAGTGCCCCAGGTCTGGGAGGAGCTTCGTGCTCTGCTCCAGCTCTATCCCCCATGGGAGGATCGGTGTTGGAGGATCCCCAGTGACCCCCGTTGGGCAGAGCCCTGGTGATCTGTGGTCCTGGTGATCCCTGTTGGGAAGACACCTGGCTGGGGGGGGTCTGCATCATCCTGTCTCCCTGTGGGCACCTGGATGAACTCAGGGGCAGGAACGTCCATCAGGACACGACGTTGGGAATTCCTTGGGGAGAGTGGATTTGTTGACTTTCAACCCTAGAAAATCTTCTGTGTTCAATCCTATATTCCGATGTCATCTAGGAATACTGAATGGTCTTGGAGGTCTTTACTGTGGTGGTTTGTAAAGGTTTCTTGAAATTTTTTATCTGCTGAGACCTGGGCAATCTCCCTTGTATCTGACAAGTACCAATCAGTGTAGGATTTTTAATACTGACACATTGTTACACCAATACGGAAGTTTATGCCTCTTTGTGAAACACATGTAAAGACAAAAAAACCCGGGAAAGTTCTCTTTTCCTTCCAGCCTCTCACAAA